TAGAAGCTTCAAGGTATTATTATTATTTTGCTCTCGAAGACTTTTCAAGTATGGGCAATTCTGAGTCAGAACCAGCTTTGCCATCAGCTCTGACCTAAGGATGTCACAACCTCTAAGCGTCCTCACCTACCAAACTAGCTGCCTATCAAACAAATAAATAACCATGAGAACAATCTGCATGCCAAAGGGCCATACAGATGAGAGATATGTATTATTACTCTTAATGATATTCGGCGTCATCACCATGAGGTCCATCTCGGCCAGTCTGAACTGTAATATATCATTTGTAAGGCCACACAACAGAGGAGGAAACAGGGATGCCAGACAAGGTCCCTTAAAGAGATCCTAACATTTAGTCATAATATTAAAATACAAAAAAAACTAAGAAGTATGGAGGGAAAAACAAGATCAGTCTTAGCTCTGGTACCCCCCAGAAGCCTGAAACTCACCCACAGTGCCCAGTGAGCAGGAAGAGATAATGAGCCTGATGAGACCCTAGACCCAGACCTTCGTAGGGCTGGGATGTACCTTTCACAAGAGGCAGTAGCATGTTTGTTGCAGAGGATAGGATGACCACCAAAATCTTTTTCTAAAAACTGAATAAAATTGCATTTCCTTGTTTCTTGGATTAATCAAAATAACTGAGCGATGAGGATGGGGTTTAGGAGTCATGAGAGGGATTTCTTCCTTTTTGCAGATTTCAGACATTTTTATGTGGTTTTTTATGAGCACATTTTTTTAATTTTAGAAAAGGAAGAAAGGGGAAGAGGGAGACAGTAAGAGTTAGAAAGGTTAAAGAATTACAGGAATAGAAAGTTCAATACTTATCCATTCACAAATGCTCTGTAATGAGCTGTGGACTCTCTGGAAGACATAAGCCTTGAAAAGTCAAAAAGTTGGGGAAAGAGATGCCTCCCCAGAGTTATCTAAGTGGATCCCCAGAGAGGCTGGGCTATGGGACAAAGGTCCCACTAAGGTCTAGTCATTGCTGTTTCCTCTCCCCTGGCCAGCCCCGCTCCATCTTTCACCTCCAGCATCTGCTCAGGTCACCTGCTAGATACCTAAGAAATGTAATCCTAAACAGTAACAGTATCTTCCTGTTTACACTGTGCCTCATTCTTGGCCTTTAAGGAAAAAAAAAGTGAAAGAAAAAAACCCTACTTCAGACGCAGGGCCTTCCCTACTACACGTAGATATTACCATCCTCAAAATTCCTTTCTTGACAGACTAAGGTGGAAAACACTGCCACCTCAGGTCTGTTCCAGGACACACACCCCTCCCTCGGATTCCTGCAGCCTTCTTTTCTCTTGCACACCACAAGTAACTCAAGATGTGCTGATCTGCTGCACAGTGCCCAGTTCTGGCCTAGTATAAACCCTTCACTCCCCACAGTGCTGAGCCCAAACAACACCCCAGGGAGGAGGTGCTGAAATGCAATAAAAGCCAAATGGGGAAGAAAAGCACTGAGTGCAGAACAGGTGCTGAAGAGATCTGTCTGGTGTAAATTCTATTACCCTCACACGCCGAGTTAGTTAAACCACAAAGAAGACGCTCAAGAGACTCCTTTCAACAGAGGTCACTCATGTTCCTTAAATCTCTCTTGAGTACAACCACCTCTTACCTGTATTACTCAGATTTTTCAAGTCTTTATAGCTATAAAAAGGTAACTGTCTCTTACCCACCATAGAGGCACCAAGGAAATAAAACCAGAGTTTATATGAAAATGCTTTGGGAATCAATCAACCTCTCTCTCTCTTTCCCTCTCCCTCCCACCTTGGCTCCTTCTCTCTCTCTCTCTCAATGCAAGGCATTGGGTTGGCAACCACAACCACCTAGCTTAGAATATGATCCTGGGGCACCCCCAGGGTGGCTTAGCCACCTGGGGTGGCTTAGTCAATTAAGTGTCTGACTCTGGATTTCAGCTCAGGTCATTACTTCATGAGTCGTGAATTCAGGCCCGAGTCGGACTTTGTGCTGACAGTGCAGAGTCTACTGGGGATTCTCTCTCTCTCCCCCTTCTCTTTGCCCCTCCCCCACTCACTCTCTTTCTCTCTCTCTCGAAAATAAATAAATAAACTTTAGGGGTGCCTAGGTGGCTCAGTCGGTTAAGCATCCAACTTTGGCTCAGGTCATGATCTTACAGTTCATGGGTTCGAGCCCCACATCAGGCTCCGTGCTGACAGCTCAGAGCCTGGAACCTGCTTCTGATTCTGTGTCTCCCTCTCTCTCTGCTCCTCCCCTACTTGCACTGTCTGTCTCTCTCTCAAAAATAAACAAACATTAAAAAAAATTTTTTTTTTAAAGAATATGATCCTGGGCCTATAGCAAATCTTTTTGAAGCTAAACAGAAAAACTCAAATGTTCAGTCTTTTCCATACTAAACTAAGGATCACCTGTAAGACATTAAATGTTCACCTGTCTTCTATCCAGGTATTAGGGGACAGAAAGGAGAAAGACTGGAATTCCCTGTGAATTTTCTTGAGAGACTAACATATCTGTCCAAGCTAATCACAGCATATGCTTAGGATTCTATGAAAGAGAATTTTCTTAAGGTCTACTCCTTTAAAACCAGGATAGCACCACCTGCCCAATCTTCCTCGCAGAGCTGTTGTCAGTAAAATGCAACAGCACACATCTCGCGCAGTCACGATAAGATGCCATGGAATGTTTTAACTTCCTCTGAAATCACTCCTGCTTGCAGCCTCCCATTCTCTGCCCCCCAGCCCACCACCTCCTATCTGCTAAAGACAATGTGAGGAAAGATGCTGCCTCAGGGGCCACTGAAGCCCACCTCTCAAGCAGCCAAGCCAATGGGAAACCTCTTCTGTCTCTACTCCTGAAAGTTCTGCTAGAAATCATTAGAGCCCAATCAGCACTATCACAGGGAAGCCAGGACTAGGAACTGCATGTAACCACTCTTTAGGTTTGGGGAGGGTGGCTAACTACACACACAACTTTCCCTCCCTCGCCCATCCTGCTACCTCCATACTTGGACGCTGTGCCAAAGGCTCAGCCTGGAATGCTGCAGGGCCTCTGGTCTCTCATGGAGGAGTAAAACATCTCCCCATGCAGGCCAGCTCACCCAGGTGAGGAAAAATACATGGCAGGCTTAGAGAAAAGGCGACTTCTCACACCTTCATCCTCATGTTGAACAAATGTGCCATCCTTCAAAAACAGAAATAAATCCAGATCCCTCCAAGAAAAGCCCTGAATTAATCAAAGCCCACATTCTCTGGCTGGTGTGGACTATTACCAGGCCATCATGACTAAACCCTTTCAGGCATTTAGAATTCAACGTGGCAGCTGGAAGAGACACTGGCTGTCCTTACGTCAACTTACAAATTAGGGCTGGGTCACCAAGACACTACTTTCATTTAATAACAGATCACTGAAACTTGGAATCTAAGCCTTTCTTTAATCTGAATTTCTAGTCTTCAAAATATTTTAAGAAAGATCTGATACTTGCTATTATAGGACCTTCCCATTTACTAAATTTATCCTTCCAGCTGCTAAGGATCACCCAAGGATTTGAAGAACAAATCCGTATCCTTCCTGAGGAAAATAAAGACTGAAAAAAATCTGGGGCGCCTGGGTGGCTCAGTCGGTTGAGCGTCTGACTTCAGCTCAGGTCATGATCTCATAGCTTGTGAGTTCAAGCCCCGCGTCGGACTCTGTGCTGACAGCTCAGAGCCTGGAGCCTGCTTCAGATTCTGTGTTTTCCCCCTCTCTCTGCCCTTCCCCTGCTCATGCTCTGTCTCAAAAATAAATAAAAAGATTTAAAAAAATGTTTTTTTAAACATGAAAAAAATTTAGAAACCCTCATTTCTTCAGTCTGACCTCAAACAGCAACCCCACCTCCCCCTGGTCATTTTATAAAATGGAAAAACATGGGATTGAGAATCAAGATCTGGGTTCTAATGCTAGCTCTGCCACAAACCACTCTGTGAGCCAGAGTTCATGGCTGTACTTTTCTGGGTCTCAGCTGCTTCTTTGAAATAACACAGGAAAGCTGGGATTCATGATGTTATGTTAAGTAGCTTCAACTTTTACAGTTTTCTTGGCCCTTTTGGGAACTTTTAGCTACAGCTGCATCTTTAAGATGCCATGCACCCAGAGTTTCTATTAAAATTCTAATGAATGGGGCACTTGGGTGGCAACAAACTTCAGCTCAGGTCATGATCTCACGGCTTGCTACTGTCGGCGCAAAGCCCACTTCAGATCCTCTGTCCCCTTCTCTCTGCCCCTCCCCCGCTTGTTCTCTCTCAAAAATAAAACAAACACTAAAAAAAATTCTAGGGGCGCCTGGGTGGCGCAGTCGGTTAAGCGTCCGACTTCAGCCAGGTCACAATCTCGCGGTCCGGGAGTTCGAGCCCCGCGTCAGGCTCTGGGCTGATGGCTCAGAGCCTGGAGCCTGTTTCCGATTCTGTGTCTCCCTCTCTCTCTGCCCCTCCCCCGTTCATGCTCTGTCTCTCTCTGTCCCAAAAATAAATAAACGTTGAAAAAAAAAAAAATTCTAATGAATTATCCACAAATAGTTTATGTTCACTCTGCACACTGTACTTTGCCAAATCCTTCTGGCCCATTGGAGATCTGTGTAATAATATTTGTATGGCACTATTTGCTCGAAAACATTTACATAGGTTGAACCATACGAAGCTGCCAACATTCAAACTTTTACCAGACAGAAACAGCAATTTCATATGGTTCAAACTACTACATTAACTTATTTATTCCTCCTTACAACCCCACAAGGTAGATTTTGCAAATGAGGAAACAGGAGCACAAAGAATCTAATAACTTGCCATAGTCACACAGCTAACAGATGATGGGGTTTGGATTTAAACTTGGGCAGCTGAACTCCTGAGCGTGTAGTCCTACCATAATGTTATATTGCCTCCCATAATGGGAACAAGAACAGCTTGAAGACTGGGAGTCCAGAACAAGGTAGTGTCTCAGAAGGAGAGGGAGAGGCTCACACTGCAGCCTCTGTTGGGTTGTACCTTTCACTTCAATGGTGGCATTTGCTTTAGGAGCACTGACAAAGTGATATACACAGTGGTATTCGCCTGAATCCTCAGCTCTCGGCTTATTGATCCTGCAGAGATGAGAAAAAAAATCAAGTAAGGAAGCTGGGAACAAATATACAACAAAATATACAACAAAAGAAGAATCAAGAGGGTAACCAGGGACTCTCCTCTCCAAACTGTGTCCCTGAATGCAACTCCCCTCCTCCTAACTAAAAAAAAGCAAAAGCCTCCCTCCATGAAACATTAATGCTTTACTCCTTACTGGGAGTAAGATAGAATACAAAGATAGAATGATACATGGTCTCTAACCTTAAACAAGTAATCAAAATAGAGGGCTGTACAAAATACTATGGACTATATTTAGATATAGAGGATGGAGCCATCACCAAAAACTTTTTGCTCACCTTGTGGTTCTAGTCAAATAAATAAGAGCAGAAAAAAGCAAACCTTTTTCTGTGTTTCCCTAAAGACCCTTGTTCTTCTCATCTTGTTCTTCCCACCCTGTATTTCAGTAGCATGCCTTTCAATAAGTCTACTCACCAACAGGACCCAAGGGATAGTTTAAAAAAAAAAAAAAAAAAAATCCGCCATCACAGCACCGACAGCAGAGAGGCAAATACACCTTTTAATGCTTAAGTGCAGCTAAAACTCCATCCACAGCACTGCATAATCTGCATGCTCACTCTCTCACCTCATTAGCCTTTTGCGCTCTTCAGTTTTTGTGCCGGCATCCTTTGTATCTTAAAATCTGTGACTTAAGTCAAGCTGGGTAGCTCAGATCGGTTGAAGGGCCGATGACTCACAGCCAATCAGATCTTGTGGTCATGTAGTTGACCGCTATCAGGCTCTGTGCTGTGACAGCTGCTCAGAGCCACTGGAGCCTGCTGGAAGTTCTGTGTCTCCTGCTCTCTTCTTGCCTTCCCCTGTCCTGCTCACTCTCTCTCTCAAAAATAATAAACATTAAAAAAAAAAAAGTTAAAAAGAAAAAAAGCCTTGACATGAGATGTTCCTTTATAGAGAATAGTCTTCCCATCAATCTTAGCCTACTTTTGCATCAGTCTCGGCTCACATCACTTCTTCCTACCCCCCAATCTAAGTGACATCCCCTCCATGATATTAATCTCTAATACTACAATGCCATTCTTCACAAGCATTCACCACAACATGTAATTATATGTTTATGCAATTGTTTGATGAATGTCTAGTTTCCCAACAGACCAAGTTCTATGTGGACAGGCACTGTTTATTTTGTGAACAGATCTACACCCAGCTCATGGCCTCGCTGGAATGTAGCAGGGGGATGAATAAATAAACGAGTAAATGATGGAGTGAATGTAAACTCAGAATGCATAGCTGTGCAGAGATCCCAACCAAGGTAAGTAGAGGGACAAGGAGGACTGTAGGAAGTGTGTATGGCCAGAACAGCACTTCCTCTGAATTCACAAGGTGATCCTTAACAAGCTGTCTTGCCCCTAATGACCAACTTCACACCAGCTCAGCACACTATGGCCTACACACACCCCCAAACATATGCAGAAAGGCTGGTGTGTAATTACCGAAAACAGAGAAATCCACATCTGATAACCATTATACGGATCCTGCTCTTTTACTCAGTGGTTAAAACAGAGAACTTGCAATGGTCAAAGCTCCACTGCACTAGTTAATGCCTGAGAAAAACTCAGAGAAACCTTGACCACTGAGTGGCCGAACATATTTATCCACCTTACTGTTCAATCGCAAAAAAGAAACACGGGTTACTAGACCACGGATGAGGAGAGACACACAGCCTATCCCCAGGACTGTCTCAGCATACCCATGGCAACCTAATATTCTAAGAGGAACTGCCAAGAGTCTTCTAAACCTCATACAAGTGGCTCTTCTTAAACCAATATCCTCCCAACTGGAAAACAGACACAAGTCAGCTGCTCTTAGCAAATGTTCCAGAGTTTGGAGAAAGAGCAGCAGCTATATCTTCAGAGCTCAGACTGACTCTAAGTTCCTTGAAAAGACTTAGAAAGATGACTCCCAAGCTTGAGCCCATGCCTATGGGCTCAAAATCTCCCTACAACATTCCCGTCAACTAGCTACTGGGAAACAACGCAAATGGAAAACGTCCCCTACAGCTGAGCAGGAGCAGGGTCTGAGACTGGCTCCATGGCTGACCAAACTAACAGGTGGCTCAAGGGCTCATCAGCTGTTTTTTTTTTGTGTGTTTTTTTTTTCCACAAAATGTGGGAGAACACAGATTCCTTGAAAAACGGACAATGCAGAACACTCCTGGAGAGCTTCAAATAAACTAAGAGGAAGAAGAAAAAAGAGGAAGAAGAGGAGGAGGAGGAGAAAGAGGAAGGGGAAGAAGGGGAGGAGAAGCAAGGGGGAGGAGGAGGAGCAAGAAGGAGAAGGAGGAGTAAGGGGAGGAGGAGCAGGAGGAGCAGCATTTTATAAAGTCAGGCTCAAATTTATAGTTACAGTTCAAATCTATATGGGTAACATAATACAAGACCCATGTCTGGTACCTTGAAAGAGTTGTTAAAAAATACAAACTTGTAAAACTAAGAAACAGACCAGGAATATATATATGCCTTTCATTCCACCAAACACTTCTATTTGATTAACGTTTTCCAAACTATGAGAATACAGCTGAGGCTATATTTCCAATTTAATATGAGAAGAAACTACAGTCGAGACAGATTAGCTTGCCACTAAAATGGCAGGGGGAAAAAAAATGACCTAGATTCTAGAAAGTCAGAAGACCTGGAACCAACCCTTGCTTCTGTAATTTACTAGATACAGTATTTGGCCTGGAAAACAGTCATTACTCTTGGAGTTTTAGCTTCCTCACTTGAGAAAAGGAGGAAGATCCAGAAATTAACGTGGGTCAATAAATAAGGGGTATGAAAAGATCTCAATTTTGCAAAATACTGCAGAATGTCCTTGCTACTACTGGGTACACAAGTCTTCCTGATCTCACTCCAGTGCACTCTTTCTTCTCACTGCATAATCCTGCCAAACAGGATTAGCCGATCCTTTTCGGGATTAGGTTTTAAACAAAAACTATTCTGAAAGGTGAGGTGCCATGTGTTCTAGATATTACAAAAAAGCACCAAATGTTTGGGTGCCAGGTTAACTTCAGCCAGCAAATATCCCCCCTTTCATCAAAGGATGTTTACAGGCTACTAAACTTATTCCAGATCACTAAAGAGCCCTATATCCACCGGTCTTGATCTGATTATGGTCATATTAATCACTCCTAAAAGGTAACTCACTAGGAATTCTACCCAATGGCGAAAGATCATTTACGGTGTTCTTGCTCTAAGAGTCCTAAAGCAGATTTCAATCTGATTCCTCAAAGCACTGAATTAAGTCAAGGGACCTGCATTCAAGTTCTGACTTTCCTACTGACTAGCATGGTTACCCTGAGCAAATCACACCTTATGCCCTCCGTTTCTCTATTATCATAATGAGAGGAATACCTAGAGCTCTCAAGCCTAGCTATTCATTGGACTCCGTCGGAAATCTTTAATAGGTTCCTGGGCCTCACCCAACACACTGGATTAGACTCTCCAGAGAAGGACCATATATATCTTATGTGTCTCCTACGTAACATAATTATGGATTATGAATGTCCATAGTAAGTTCACTGCTCCCTCCCATCTTCCTAGGAGATGTTAGTCCCTCTCACCTGTATTCCATGTTGCTGGCATTCTTGCGAGTGGCAGTCAGCTCTACCCCATTCTTTGTCCAGTAGCTGTATGTAAGGGTGTGAGAGCTGGAAGTGAGGTTACACTGCAGAGTGACGGGAAGAACAGGGCTGTCTCGAAGAATGACCTCTTCACTGGTGACAATCCGTGGCTCTGTAATAAGAGTGCACAGTGATAGGGAGCCACAGCCTTCTGTTCTCTGTAGCCCTGGCCTGAGAATTGGATGGGGTAGGATGGGGAGACTAGAAGAAGAGGGAGGGCAGACAGGACCACATGAGGAATTTCACTTTACCAGTTTGGAGGAAGTCAAGAAAGGAAAAACAATGATTATAAGCAAATGACCACTAGCGCAGACAACAGCCTGAAGACCAGTTGGCCTAGACGTGAAAAGAATGGGAGTATTATGGGTACTTATACTGGCAACAATCCACTTACACTTTTAACACCACGGTTTTATGATATAAGAACCACCAACCAATTCAGCTTCAATTAGAAAACCAGGCTCCACCTTGCAGTTCTGAAGACAAAGGCAGTATCATTTATATAACTAATAAACTCCCTATGGAGTCACTAGGCCTTGGAACAGTAATTTCTGTAATTAGATAATACATGTATGGCTTTTCCCACATTTAATTCTGATAAACCTATGGCAAATCAGCCATGGCCATTAATTATGCAGAAAAAGTGTAGATCCTTAAAAGCAAATTTCCTGCCAGAAGTCTATTGTATTTTCCAAAATATGCCACGGGAAAATTCTTAAGGAATCATCACAGTTCTTCTCTCCAGCCCATATTTATTCCCAAAACAAAACCTTTTCAGAATTCCCGTTTAAAACACATTCCACTGTGGAGATAATATAACTAGAATGCAGTATGTGTTGGTATCATGGGCTGTAAACATTTTAGAGCTGAGAGGCCCTTAGAGTTCACTAAACCCCACTCTTGAAGAGCTAGCGACAGAAAATGGCTTGTGCAAGGCCATAATTATTATTAGTGGCAAAGCTGGGCCTAGAACACACATTTGACTGAATTCTCTACCTCTGCCTCCCTTTCCCGGCCCCAAATCCCCCCACACACTTTCCACCCTACAGCAAGTTACATACTTCATCTTCTGGTTCTATCCTGGGCTTAGATAACCTGGGGTCATTAGTTTAGAATCTACAAAAATAACCTATTTGACCCAAATATTAGAACACATTGAGCAGAAATTCTGTAAGGCACACTCTGTCATTCCTGGAAGTTCATCCTTAAAGCCCTTTGAATTCCACCACTATATGAAAGTCAAGATGTTTGTTTGCCGTCTTTTTGTTGTTGTTACTTATCTCTAATCTTTTCCCACACTTAAACATTTTCAGGTAAAGTCTAAACTTTTCCCATCCACCATTAGAGGTATTTCTTCCTCTTTTATCCTTTTCCACTTTTTCTCAGAAATTCTTGACTAGCTTCCCATTTCCCTGCCCCTGGCAACTCTGTAGCAGCAACCTAACACCATTTTACGCAGTATAGTGCTGACTCTTAACTCTTGAGGACAGAACTCTCTCCCTTCACTGGAACTAAACCTTGTTCACTGTGCAGGGAGGAGGATAGTATGGAGCAGTCATGGGACACTTGAAAAACATAATGCCCAAGGACCTCCTAATCAATGCAACATTTCTGACTGTAGACTCGTATCAAAGAACACTGTGGCAAATAAAGCAAATCCTCAAGTTTCTTCAATTAAATTGCCTCTCACTATTTTCTGACTCTGGCAAAAGGATAATGGTTATCTTCCATTCAGCTCTGATCCTTACTGGTGACATCAAACAGGGTCTCTATGTACAGATAATGGAGGCATAGCAGCCACTAAGACAGAAGCAGATGCATGTAAACACGTTAGCGCAGTGGTGTCCCATGGTTTCCAAAACACACTGGACAGAAGCCAAATCCCTGGGCCTTTAAGTTGAGCAGAACGGCTGCAAACCCTGCAACGGAAGGCGCACACACACCATCAGCAGAAAGCACCACAATTCCAAGAAAAATCAAAACCAAGCAAAAACAAAAACAAAAACAAAAAAAAAAAAAGAGAGAGAACCAGTACTCCACAGAAATTAAAAATATAAAGGCAACATTAAAACCCAAACACACTTTTAGGTTTTTACTAAATTTTTATTATCCAATTTTATTTCCTGTCCCATTTGGGACTCTCCTTCTGGTTCTTCTTCTCAGACTGCACTGAGAAAGGGCAAACTCTGAGAATGAGGCCAAGAGCTTCTAGATGTTTAAACACAAGGAGGCCAAAATAAATGCTACTCTTACCTGTGACGATGCAAATGCCCACTGCAGCTCAGGGAGATTAAGAAGTTGATGAGAGCAACCTGGTAGACTTTCTGCCAAGAATTCTTGGAAGGCAAAGGAAAGCACTTTTCCCCTTAAGTGTTAAAGATCCAGGAGAGAGTCGGCTGGGAGCAAGTGGATAATTTAAATAGGTTTAAATATGATTCTGCACCATAGGAAGGTTGTGGGGTGTGGTACCTCCCTCCAATGATCGCTGTATATGGAAACCAGTGCTAACCCAAGCTCCTTGGCCATGGTGCCACATCTGCATTCTGCACCAGGATGAAGGTGGAGCTTTTGTTTCTGTGGCCCAGCAATGCCCATGAAAGTCCAAGAGAGATGAACATTTAGGAGAAGCCCCAAAATTTTTGCCTGCCACTGACTCCTACAGAGAAGCAGTGGATGGGAGACCCCTACCCTCACCGTCACACATGTGTAGAACATGCTATGGCCAGGGAGATACCCTAAAAACTGGGCATATTTCTCATCCTGTCTTACTTTACTCAAGGAGTTCTGGGGGGAAATATTGTCAAGGAGTCATTTTAGAAGACTTCAACCTCCTCCTGGAGGCAAATGTCCTTGGGATGCTAAGATCATAAAATCCAATTAGAGTGAATTCAGGGTGTTTTTTAAAAGTAGCATCAGCAGCTTGGCTCTCTAAAACAGTTAACTAGAATTAACTGATTGATGGGGAAGTCTGGGATGAGACTGAACCAGGGTTTGGTTCAACCACATGCAGACACTTCTAAGTTAGGAAGTTTATTTCCAAGTAAACTGGAGAAATGTTATGTATTCTCAGGATTGGTAGTAAGTACCCCAAAGACTCATCTTCTTCTAGCCCCAAGACATGACCTCTTAACTATGAGTCTACTTGAGTCAAGCTCCTGGAAGTACAAATACCAAATGCCCAGCCCAGTCCATGCCTACAAACTTCTGCAGGTCTTTGTGGCCATTTGGGTAATTCTGCTTTTATAAGGAAAGGAGCAGGGGGGCAGGAGAAGGAAGCGTGCAAGGGAAAAATTGTTAAATAAAAGGAAAATCGCTGGGTTAATATTCCCCATTTTCACATAGACAAGGTTTTCTTTTCCCCTTTCCAGAAGCAGGTTCTCTGATTGAACAGTGCCAGCTGCAGCAGCCTCTCCTACCTCTTCCCAAAGGCCTCTTCTCTCCATAAGCATCTTCTAAGGAACTATGAAGGACAGACAACTAACTTGCTATCTTCCATATTAAGTACATAGATATTCAGGGCCCATATCCTATTAATCCCTGTGTTACTACCAAATTCCTCATGAATGTGTTCTTACTATTTTTACTTACTCTTTCTAAATCAATCAGTTCTTTAAGCCAGAACTGGCTACAGGTCTGAGTTCTTAAAAGAGAAGGTGAAAACTCCAGAGGATCATTCCATTAAGTAGAGTATGCTCCCTCAATTACAATCGGGTCAGATGTGGGGCTAGAACTCTTCCTGGCCAGGAGCACTGGCTCTGTGGTGGCTTTTCCCTCCCTCTCCTTGCCTCTATACAAGTAGCAAGACACTTGCTAGAAAGAGAGGTGGCCACAAAAGTCCCTGTGTCTAATGTCTTACTTATAGCTGACACAACAGATGAAGAGAAGAATTCTAAGCCAGCCGCTTAGCTTTCCCTCATCACTTAGTTGGACGTTAGTTTCTTCTTTTTTCAAAACACAAGAAAAGGCCAGTGTGAATGGCTTCCAAACTATTTCTAGGGTTGCCAGCTTCTGGGAAGAGGAGCACTGTGCCAACAGTCAGTCATCAGAGTCAAACTATCTGTGAACAGGAAGCAGATGCAACTCTGACTCTGAAACAGCATGATGGGGTTTAAAAAAAAAATACTTTGCAGCTTGTGTCACCTGGTGCCTAACAGCAAGACACATGGAGGAAATCTCAGACTACTGCTTTTAAAAGAACAGGAGACTGGATGGGCAGAACCAGTAAGGAGTGTGCTGCTGTAGTGCAGGGCTGTTATCAGAGAAGCACGTGCCACTGTTTTAGAAAAGAAAAAGAGCTGGAACTATGGAAATATCCAAGCTTACATGCCACCCAACAACCAAAACACACCATCACACCGCACCTATGGCGACATTCCCATCACAGAACAGGATGACACCAAGTCACAGTGAGGGAAGAAGCTGGGCAGACACAAACTTAAAATCATAGAGGTGAAGGCAGCTATTCAGAGAGCTTCAAACAGATGAACAGAAGAAATAAAAAGTAGTTAGACTGTGGAGAGAAACAAAAATAAAAAGGCACCAGAGAATAAATCAGCAAAAGGATAGCAGGAAACCTACTACAAAATTAAAGGGGAGGGAAAGAAACAATTCAACACTACTACCCTGGTTTAACTGCCTGGTCTTGTGAGTTTTAGGTGGTTTTCTGAGCCTCCCCAGTTCTCCCTCCCCACCTCTTCCCAATGCAGATGATTTTGGACAGGCACGGATTTCCCCAAATTCTTTGTTCCTGAGGAGAAAGACACAGAGAAGGGTTGGGGGATGAGGGAGGTAGAAAGGACGGCAAAGAAAAAAAAAGTTGCCACAGATGTTTTTATACACTACAACCAGAAGGGTCGTGGGTTTGAAAAAACGAAGACAAGGGGTGGGGTGAGCGATCATACTGGGGAAGAGGGAAAGGAAGCAGAAGGGAAGGGTCATTGGGCCACCTCTAATGACTACAGTACTACTACTGTAGGGTGCTGGACTCACTCTGAAGGACGCTTATGGTGGCCTGGGCTCGAATCCATGTTATGGAGGGATTTTGCCTCAAGTCATTCCTCTTGGGGTCGTTGCTGGCCCTGCACTCGTAAGTCCCAGAGTCCTCCAAGGTGAGCCGGGTTATTCTCAGCACACTCACGCCGTTTGACCCGTAGGCGGTGTTTACGGTGACACGGCGCTTCCGAGCACCGTCCCACAGCTGTCTGAAAGACTCTGCCCGGTTGACTTCTGCGTACCACCACTGGATCTCTGGCGTGGGGCTCCCGACCACGTCACAGTACAGCTCAAAGGCGTCCCCAGTGAGCTTAGTTTCTGACATGGGCGACTTGACAAACCCAGCTAGAGGGAGGGGGAGCAGGAATGCAGTGACAGGCCAAGCAGAAAAAAAAGAATCAACAGGTGTTAATAGTAATTTAAAGAAAAGAAAAAAGCAAATGAGTTGCAAAGAACAAAAAGGATTCATTTTTAAACTATAAAGATATAAAGAGACAGTAAATAGCATTTCATACAAGCTTTTAGAAGAAGAACCACCCTGGGAAGCTTATGAAGCAAAGGCAGGCTAATTACAAGCTGGGGCAGCCCAGGTGCTAGCCAGGCAGAAGCAAGCCCACTGGAAAGCATTTTAGCAATGGGCCCAGTTGGTAGGAATGAGAAAGCCTCAGGTCTCAGGGAAGAGTATCTTTCCTTAGAGCACAAACCATTACCTTTTCAAATTCAGGCAAGTGATGAAAGATAAACACAAGTGGCAGTAGTTCTATATGCCAAGTCAGGATCTCTCTTTTGGATGGGGGAATACTTTGTCTGAGATGCAATGTCTTTTGTGGGCCTCAACAAGAAATATTAACTGACCTAATGACACCTTCTCTTGGGAATCAGGGTCCAAATTTCAACCGAAAAGGTAGCATAATTCTCTCTCATACAGGATTCCATCCTGAGTTCAGCACAGACTTCCCCCACATCCTATTCTTCCCTGGGCCTGTGGCAAACAAACAACCCAGCGGTCTGTGATTAGGTAGCCTCTACCCGAATGCAGACATTCAGGCACAGGTAAATAAGACAGTCTGTACACTTCAGAGTGAGAATTACGATGGGTGTCAGCTCAGGAGTGGAACCAACAGTAGCATCAACCCAACTCATTGCCAATGCAGAGACTATACCTTCCACAATTCTGTGAGTTCATACAACTAGAAAACTCTCCCGAAAAGTGAGTCTTCAAAATAACTATGGTACTTGACAGTCTCTGTCTACGTAGTTCAGTAGCCTACCCCCAGAGTCCAGCTCATAAAGAATAAGAAATGTATAATGATGAATTAAATTCTATGGTGAAGGCTAGGCCTCAACATCATTGCCAGGCATTTCCCAGGAACTAAAGTTGATGCCTATTTCCACTTGTCCAGAATTTGCTTTAGGTTACACTCCCATAAGACAAGGTGGCAATGGCAGAGACAGAGTAGAAAACCCAAGCTTATTTGAAGAACTTGGAGTGGGGTCCATAGTAAATTAAATCACAGTGCAAGCATACTCTCTCTCACCCATTTACTCCACCCAGGGTCCAGCAGCATTTCTACCATTTCAGGCAGGATTCTAGGATACAGGGCAAGAAGCTACAAGAGGTACTCTCAGTGGCTGGGCAATTTCTCCTGGGACCAAGCTGGTCCCTCTGCAGGGAGTGGGGGGGGATCTACCCACATCAGATTAAATACATTTCAGAGGGAAAGTATGAATTAAATGGAACAGTTTTCCTACAGTCCAGAAGCCAAGGACATAATGGAGCTGCCTGAAAATGGAGGTTGCTAAGTGGAAAATTTTCTGTTTATATCCATAGAAGTATTTGCCTTTGTAGATAAACTCCACCTTATGGACCTCAGAACCCTAAGAGAAGTAGTATACTTATTCAATAGAGGTCAAGACCTCCAAATTCAAACTAGCCTTTCAATTCATAAACCATACAAAATGTGGGGAGGATAGGAATCCAGTAACTAACAGCCTTAGACTAAATGTTCTACCTTGCAAATACTATTCTAAACTACCCATTCAAATTGTGTCAGTTCCTTGTAAGGAACTATCTACCAGAGGCTCCAAGAAGCCAAAAAGATGTCATTGTCAGATGCAAAGGAAGTTTCGGAATTTGAGAAAGGAAACACCAACCCCCAGCAATGAAAACCTGAGCTCACTTCCAGGTAAAGTGGTAATAAAGGACTAATGTCTTAATCTCAAAACCTGCCACCTGCCAACCTGTCAAAGTCGATGCCAACTAATATAGAAGGCTAGCTAAAGGAAGCTGGTTCCATTCATTTTACTATTGGTTTAACCACCATGGAAAACTGATTATCAGTAAACCCCTACGGAGCAGTAAAGAGGAGTACTCTATTTTAATCACACTCTCGATCATTAAGTGGAAATTACGAGTGCTCTTATTCTCACATTCTCTGTGAACTGGGAGAGTTTATGCCCTCTCAAACACTGATTATGCACAAATCATCCTCGACTTAGTGATGGTGTTACATCCTAATAAACCCATTGTAAGTTGAAATTTTAAGTAAAAAATGCATTTAATACACCTAACCTATTGAACATCATAGCATAGCTTAGCCTAGCCTACCTTAAACATGCTCAGAACACCTACATTAGCCTACATACAGTTGAGCAAAACCATATAACACAAGCCTGCCTACTTTACAAGAAAGTGTCGAATATCTAACATAATTTGTTGAATGTTGTACTGAGAATGAAAAACAGAATGGCTGTATGAGTCCAGAACAGTTTTAAGTTTATCGGTTGTTTACCCTCATGGTAGCATGGCTGTCTGGGAGCTACAGCTTGCTGCCACTGCCCAGCACTGTGACGGAGAAATGTACAGATCACTGCCTAGGAAAAGATCAAAATTCAAAATATGGTGTCTACTGAATACATTATCATTTTTGCACCATCATAAAATTGAAAAACTTTAAATTGAACCACAGTAAGTCAGGGACCATCAACTTGATTATGCTCTAGAAATCTGTTAGTGGGTTTTTGTATTTTTTTTCCCCTTCTGAAATGCGGGCTGACATTTAAACCTCTTTATCAATCTAGTGACCATGCTAATGTGAAGGGAATGCCTGCAAGTATGTAAAGAACCCCAAGAACCCATCCAATCCCAATGTAATCTCAAATCCCAACACCACACAATTCAAAGGTAGCCAAGAAACAGCCTGAACACAATTTTCATTGCACAGAATCAACCAAGTCTTTCAACCTGACACCACCACCCCTGGGCAAGAGTCACTTCCTAAGGAGGAAAGAATGCTGATCTGATTTAGTTAAATTTTCTATCTGAATACAGGAAAATGGGAGTAAGTAAAAAATAAATGTTCTTTGAATTAGTAAATGTTATGATGTATATTTAAAAAAAAAACTTATCTAAAAACAAGAGTTAAAATCCCTTAAAACACTAACAACAGACATCTATTTACGTATTCTTTGAAAGCCATTATTATTAGACATGTACATCAACAGTTAACACTTCCTAAGTATGTGTTTGTTATGTGTTGGACAATGTGGTAAGCACTTTATATTATCTCATTTAATCCTACAACAGCCCTATAAGATAGGTGCTATTAGAATGCCCTTAAAGATGGAAACTAAGGCCTAAAAAAGTTAAGTACTTTGCCCAGAGTCACAAGCTAATAGTGCAAAAGTCTGATCTGGAATCCAGGTGTGTCCAAAGACAAAGCACGGCCTCCTAACGCTTTCCACAACTGCAGTCAATGTCCCTTACTACAACAGAAAAAGTTTTCTGTAGCTATTTAAAAGTTAAACATATTTTGTGTCACGGCTTAAATATAACTAATTAATAATTTCTGACTACAAAAAGCAAGGACGTGTCCACTGGAATGTGCAGCACACTATGATCACTAACTCCTTCAAATTATAATCCTAGTAAAGAATGAACATAGTGAAACACAGGATCAAAGAGTTTCCTGCCAAACTGGGAGGAAGGCATGTTGTGGGGCTAGGTGAGAAAATAAAAGAAAAGATGGTTCCAGAGGCAAGATTCCCCACCCCCCCCTAATTCTAATGATTTCATCACCCTGCTCCTGAGAAGGCTGGCTTCATAGGAGGGAAGACATTAGATGTGGGCGCCTGGGTGGCTCAGTAGGTTAAGCATCCAACTTCGGCTCAGGTCATGATCTCATACTTCATGAGTTTGAGCCCCACATCAGGCTCTGTGCTGACATCTCAGAGCCTGGAGCCTGCTTTGGATTCTATGTCTCCCTCTCTCTCTGCCCCTCCCCAATTGCACTCTGCCTCTCTCTCAAAAACAAATAAACATTTAAAAAAATTTAAAAGACATTAGATGCATTTCTCTGGTATTGTGGTCAGTGGGCAAATTAACAAAGGGCAGCACCTGAAATTTTTATAAAACTTAACAGTTTACAAAGTGCTTCCACATATATCACATCTCATTTCATTCACATAGTTTGACAAGGTTCATAGATGGGACAGGCACAGAGACAGGTTCATGACTTGCCCAAGATTGCCTGGGTAGCTAATCCTGAATGGAGATGGGATCAGAACACAGGTCTTCAGCTCTTAGACTATGGTTCTTTCCATTAAACTGTAGTGCCTCTAAACAAACCCAAGCACAGGATTCTTGATAGCTCAACATGCATCAAAAATCATGAAAACAGATCTATTTCTCCTCCTAGCAGCAAGGAAAAGAAAAAACAAAAAACAAAAAACAAAAAACAAACAAACAAAAAAAACCATCTTTACACAGTATCGTGAAATCACAATTAGCAAAGGAAAGTTATTAGCCACCATCTACCTCATTATCCATCCAAAATTAGCTCCAATTCAGAAGAGAACTAGCTTGCAGCAGCAGCAGCAGCAGCAGCAGCAGCAGCAGGAGGAGGAGGAGGCGGCAGACAGCTCAGACCCTGACTCACTGCCCTGCCTTTCATTATCAAGGGCTTTCAATCAAGTATCTGCTCTCAACGTAAGTGCACACAACTGCCTAAAGTTGGGAGGCCAATAGAAGCATCTGTTTGATCTCCAGCTCAAAGCCCATCCAGTATTTTGGGAAAAGCCTGAATTTCAGAAAAACAACTTCCTACCCCTTCCCCACCATCATCTCTATCCAATGTAATACGTAACTGGGCTCAGACCTCAAACAGGTTTGAGAAAGTACTAATAAAATACATTAAGTTCAACAATGATAAAGAGGGAAGCTGAAAGGTGGTCACTGGTTTGGGGGAAGGGAGGGACTAGAAGCTGGGGATGGAGGCAAGCAGCAAGCACAGTATAAAAAATAGAGACAGTAAAACCGGGAAAAGCGTAATGTAAAATTGCATAAC